TAGCTTCAATTTGTGCCAAATTTCTCCTCATTTCTTCTTGCATCTCTTTATGTTCTCTCTCAATTCTGGCTAGCTTATCCTCTGTTTCTTTAGGCATTTTTCTTGTGTCACACAGATGATAAGCGTTCTTGCTACTAGTGTGAACCCAAATCAGTACGATTGAAAACCTTATCTTATTATTATTATTTTAATGAATGAATATTTTAATGTATGATTTGGAAATGTATTAAGGAATATAAGTGTCATGAAAAATGAATGTATGTAAAAGACATTGATCCAAAAATAATTGTTCCTTGAATAATCAATGTCTCAGTACAATGGGGAAGTGAAGATCTGGTCCATCTATAAGTTGTCCAACTCCTGCGAGCATTTGGGTACTACATCGTTCTTCGTCGAATTTAGGCATATTAAAAATCTTCAAAGCGTCGAATCTTCTTGAGTCCACCTTGTTATCTCAATAGGTATATGTATGGCTTGTCTCCTTAGTAGGTAGACTCTCTTGATGCTACTCGATCTACATAGAGCATCTTCAAAATTATTTCGATCCTAATGAAAGGCATTTTTGTAGGCATTGTTTTTCAAGAACCTTCTAAAAGATTAGCTATTTAAGGGATCAATACATTTGAAGGATATGTAATGTCCATGTAAAAATGAAACAAGACTAGATAAAAGGAATTCAATGTTAGTAAAAACAATACAAAAAGAATCAAGTTAGTTGAAATGATTAGTCAAAGAAATGTAATCTTAACAAAATAATTAAATATGACTCAATGTTGAGACTGAAAAATAAAGTATACAAAGAAAATTAATAATCCTAACCTCATGCGTTCTAGTTCTCATAGATTATACACATGGCTCTAGCAGGGTAGGTTTACTAAATTCTCTACATGAGGTTGAGTTCTAGCAATGGGTTCCGAAGCCATCTTTACAACCTGTTAAGGTTGACTCCGATTCTGTCCCATTACATACATGCGAATTGGATTCTTCTTAGGGAATCACACCACTAAACGCGTTCCTCAAATATGGTATCCAGATAGGCAACTTAGGATGCTTTCCAGAGACACTTTGTCAGACTTACACAAGGAAGCCCAATGCTCCTCATGAGGTTTGACGTTTCTCCCTACTTAGGTAAACCGAGTATGAGCTTGGGTTTAGAGCTATGATATGCAACAATCCTAAATATTCACAGAAGTGTAAGCATTAATCAGATAGAAAATCTTTTTTTCTTTTGAAATAACATAATGAACTATACATTAAAATAAGATAAAAATCATAATTTCTTAAAATCCTAAATATTAGGTAACCAACTCATGGCTTGACTCTCAAGTTGTTTTAAAAACAAAACATCCCCAGTGAAGTCGCCAAGCTGTCGACACTGTTTCTTGCCCGGGCAGGGAAAGATCGTTAGCGAGTTGGGGGTTTTTCCTTTGAAAAGAATTTTCAAAATATGAGGAGTCGCCACCAATCATTTAAGGTACAATGGTACACAATCGCTACCCATTTACTTTGAATGTTCTGCCATACTCTAAGTTTTTTAGGAGAACTGCTCCATGAGGATAAACTTTATGTATCTCAAAAGGACCGGAACATCGAGGCTTCAATTTACCTAGAAAAAGATTTATTCTTGAACTGAACAACAAGTCAAGTTTTCTAACATCAAATTGTTGTGGCCTACCATTTCTTGCTATTATCTTTGTAAATTCGGTTATTCTCATAAGCCCCATTCTGAAGTTCTTCCAATTTATTGAGCTCCATTATTCTCTTTTCACCAACAACATCAAGATGAAAGTTCAGTTTGTTCAAAGCCCACATAGCTTTATGCTCCAATTCCACTGGCAAGTGGCAAGCTTTGCCATATATAAGGCGATAAGGAGACAAACCCAATGAGGTTTTGTAAGCTATCCTATAATCCCATAAAGCTTCATCAAGTCGAAAAGACAATAATTCCTTGAAAGATTCACAACATTCTCTAAAATTTGTTTTATCTTACAGTTTGAAATCTCGGCTGGACCGTTTTTCTGAGTGTGGTATGTTGTAGCAATACGATGCTTCACTCCATAACCCTACCAGACATTGGAAAATTTCTTAACAACAACTTGGGAACCTTCATCACTTATTAATGCTCTTGGTGTGCCAAACCGAGTGAAAATATTCTTGTGGAGGAATTTTAAAACTGCTTTAGCATCACTTGAAGGTAATGTTATCGCTTCAACCCACTTGGACACATAATCCACAACCACAAGGATAAAAAGTTTTCATAGGATGACGGATATGATCCTATGAAATCCAACCTCCAAACATTAAACAACTCGATCTCCGTATATGTTGCATTGACATTTTGTTGCGGAGAAAAAGGATACCAGTTCGTTGATAATAATCACAATGCTTGACAATATCATTGGCATCTTTGAATAGAGAAGGCCAATTGTAACCACATTGGAGCACTTTACCTGTTGTACGCATCCCACCAAAATGTCCATAATACGGTGCATTGTCGCAATGGTGTAGAATTCTTTCCTGCTCATGTTCATGGATGCATCTGCTTAAAATTTGATCGTTACATTGGTTAAAGAGGTAAGGCTCTTCCCAATAATATGCTCTAACATCATGCATGAATTTTTTTCTACCTTGGTGATTAAGGCCTGGTGGCAGCATACCACTTACTAGATAATTCACAAAGTCCACGTACCAAAGCAAAGTTTAAATAGCAAGCAACCTCTCGTCGGGAAAAACATTCAAAATCACAAGTATTTTTTTCATCTTCACTACCGAATTTCAAATAGGATAAGTGGTCAGCCACTTGATTTTGGGACTCCTTCTTGTCACGAACTTTAATGTCGAATTCTTGAAGCAGCAACACCTATCGTATTAACCTCAACATAGTGTCCTTCTTAGAAAATAAATGCTTTAATGTCGAGTGGTCAATGTAAACAATGACTATGGTTCCAAGCATGTATGACCAAAATTTGTTAAAAGTGAACACCATAACAAACAATTCCTTCTCCGTTGTGGTGTAGTTAACTTCAACATCATTCAGCGTTCTACTATAATAATAGATAGCATGGAAGACTTTCTCTTTTCGTTGTCTAACACAGCACCAACAACATGGTCAATAGCATCACACATTAGCTCAAAAGGTAAATTTTAGTTTGGTGCTACTACAATAGGGTCATTGACAAGCTTCAATAGGGACAAAGTACTCCTAAGGCATGTCACGCTCTGATCACAAGTACATAATTCATCAACCAGGCATGAGATTCTGCGTCCTTTGTGCTAAAGGAAACAAAGGTTAGTGCCCATGGAACAAATATTATTCAAGTAAGGTTGTGTCCTACGACTCCTGCTCTCTCCTATATAAATGTTCGACCATATCAGATTTCCATTCGATGAGGACATTTTTATTTCCAAGAATGAATCAACATATGTAATTTTATGGTTCTGGTATCAAGCATATTTAAGAAGTAGAATTATAAGTATTTAAACCAAAGAGAGCCCTTCAACTCCAAGCAGAATTACATTTTTGCAATATTATTCTTTTTTAGGAGCTTATTAATGCATAATTGCAAGTCTCCACGTTTTCATCAACATCGACTGTAATAAGTGGACTTGTCTTATAATATCCAAAAATGTTCTTGTACAAATTCATTCGAATACTCAAGGCTTTTGTCCAAAGTTGTTCTTCTGACCTATTCCAAAATCCCATATGGAATTCATAACCCAAGGCTGATCGAGGTTGAGGTGTAATATAATCCTATATTCGGAAACGCATACCTTTCTCGGCCTCTTGCATAACATCAAGTGTAGTATATGTTTTTGTTAGTTTAATATTTGATATGTTAATGATTGGTCCACATGATATTAAATTAATTTTTATTGGGGAGATCCCACCATAATAGCTTTCAATTGGGGTTCTCGACTATTGTTTTGTATTACACTATTGCACAGATCTAGCATATTGTTACGCTCTTGGATTCAGAATTGCCAAGATTTTTTGATGTGTCCTGATCGTAATCAAGTAAGAAATCTCCATTGTGTATCCAATGAAGTGATGATCAATACTTTGGCCATGGCTGCGAAGGGTTCCTACACCAATAGATATAAGGCAAACGACATCAGCACGTCTTTCAACCATTTGACGTGCATCCAAGGAGAAACTAAGAAGAAAATGCAAATAAGAAGTAAACCTGCAATGTGATGACATCTAAACTCTAAATGTAATGTGAGTGCGATGAATGAGGTGACAAATGGTATGATATGAATGATTTAGGGACAAAATAAGCTCAGAATGTGGGAAAAATATATGCTATTTACAGTAGTATCACGTCCCAACACTTGAACGTTTGTTTTTCCTACCTTCGTCTTTTAAGTATTTCTAGTTTCACCAACGAAACTTGTAGTAGCTGGAAAAAACCCAAAGAGAAAAAGTAAAGGTGTTCAGAAAGATGAACACTTAGACACCTTGGAAGGACCAAAAATGGAGGAAAAACGAGAAAGAAAAAGTTGTTGGGAATGAATATGAAAGGATGGGTTTTTTTAAAGAAATGAAAAGGAAAATGGAATAATGTGTCATTTAAAGTGTGAAACAAGTAGGTGACTCATCCAGATGTTCATCGAACGGCTAGAATTTGAGGGAGAAAATATGGAAATGTCTAAACTGTCCATAGAACACAATTCTAAAATGGATGGGAACTTCTGGATATGCGCCGACGTTGCAGTGTGGTCGCACCAAACAACTCCTCAACAACAATCAAAATTAAAGAAAACAACAGATAAATGAGAATTACAAACAGAAAAAAATTTAGCAAAACTTAAATTTTTTTGATCCATTCCAATGCACATGGAGGCGCTGGTTGGACTTCTTCCTTGACTAGTTATTTCATCAGGAGGAAGCCATAATCCTCCTATCTTATCAATAAGTGTCTCATGCCCATTTCTATCACATAATTTTTTACAATATACTAGTTGTTGTAACAATCATCCGCAATCCTTCTAATATTTTCTTACTCAACAATGAGAATATCCAGATCTTGCATCTGCTTTCCTATTTCGGACGCCCACATCTTTTTGTCATCCTTAATTGAGATGTCACCGCAAAGGATTTCCTTGACCACTCTAATGGTATGACACTTCTCTATCGCCTTGTGAGAGCTGTTATCCAGGACACTAAAAGTTATATGTTTATCACTTATTCTCATGGTAATTCCACCCTTTGACACATCAATGATAGTGTGACTAGTAGCTAGGAAAGGTCTTCCTAAGACAATAGAAACAACTTTATCTACCTCACAGTTAAGAATGATAAAGTCTATTGGAAAGGAAAATTTGTGAACCCTAACCACAACATCCTTGATCTCCCATTCTGGATATGTCAATGATTTATTGGCCAATTGTAAATTCATTGTAGAAGCTGTCATCCCCTTGAGCCAAAGGTACATAACGATAGATAATGGCATGAAGTTGATGCTTGCACCAAGATCACACAAGACTCGGTCCATGAAGATGTCTTTTATAAAACAAGGGATGGTAAAGCTCCCGGGATCCGTCAACTTTGGTTGCAGCTTGGTGCCTATTATGGTGCAGCACTGCTCTACGGGTGCAATGACTTCTGTTTCATGAAGCTTTGCCTTCTTGGTTAACATCTCCTCGTCTTATTTTGGATCATGGGTAAATTCATTAAAATCATCAGGAAAGAGCTTCGACACTTGAAAAAGATAATCTGATTGTGTCGAAATTGTGTGTTTCGCAGCAGGTGTTGACATATTTAGTGTTGACATAAGAATTTCAGATATATTGGTGATAAACTGTAGATGGTCGTCTGAAAAATCAGCTTCATCACTCACTTCCTCACTGGCTTTGGGACGCCCATCCTTGTTTTCATTTAGTGTTAGAATAGTAACTTTTTGGGGTTCCTCAACTTGCTCATCGTTTCTCAAGGTGATCGCTTTTACACTACTCAGCTTTAAGATTTTTCATATCAGAGGGTGAGCTATCCAGATGTTTAGTATTCACTGATGAAACTAGCTACATAAATTGAGTTTCCAAGGCTTTGATGAAAGAAGAATTTTCTTGGACTATAGCCTCGGTGCATGTAATGTTCTCCCTCATTAAAGCTTCAAATGAAGCTAAGGGATCAGAGCTAAAAGGTTGTGAATAACTGGACTGATGCGATGTGGCTGCATTGTAGTGCTGGAATTGGTGGGTTTTTGGTCTCATTCGTTGCGACTGGCTTTGATATATCGGATGTGCCTGCAATAGTTGTTGACTAAAATATTGCCGACTGTGTTGCTGATAAAATTGATGTTGTAGTCCGTTGTAATTGCTTGGTTGCTTAACAAAGCTACTCGAAAAATTCCCCCATAACGGTAGACATTAGATTGCTGCGCAGGGGCTTCATTTCCCCAAGTAGTCTAGTTGCGATTGAAAGCATTATTCCCAAGGCGATTGCTAGAAGCATTTCCTCTCAAGTCGTTGACAAAGTAAACATTCTACATGATATGTTGGGGACAATCCACAAAACTATTGTTGTCACCGTAAATTTCACAACTGAGCATTAGAGTATCAATCTACTTAGTTGTCTGGATAGGTGCTAGTCAGTAGTCCCCTGCATATTCTTGATGAGATTCGTGAGTGCAGAGAATTCAGCACCAAGAGTCGAGATGGTGTCCAAATCCAGAACACCTAAAGGATTTATATGGGTGGCCGCCCTTGAAATAGGAAATTGATAATCATTCCGGGCCAAACGCTCTAGTATATCAACATCATTATTATAAGTGTAATCCAATAGTGGATCATTGGCAGATGCGTCCAAAATGTTTCCATCTGTGCATTCAACTCGTTGTAGAAGATCTTTATATGGGTTTCTTGCAGAATGCCTTATGTAGGACATCTACGTAATAATACCTTAAAACGCTCCCATGTAGTGTGAAAATTCTCATTGTCAGCTTGTTGGAAAAATGTAATGTCATTCCGCAACTTGGAAATCATTGTGGGCGGGTTGAACCTCAACACAAACTGTGTGTCAATCTCATTCCCCATCGTGATTGAACCAACTAGGAGGCCTATGATCCAGGTCCTTGCACTACCCTGCAAAAAATACATAAATAATTGCATCTTTAGTTCAAGCAAGGGTATCTTAAAACAACTCATATTCCTATGTAGCTGCTCGGTGATGACCCTGGCTAGCTCGGACGGTGCTCCACGGCCACTTTCACAGACCGTGCCAGTTCAGGCGATCATCAGAGATGCTTCGGGCAGAGGTTTATCACACAATGGACATGGGTTCAATGCTGATGGGGAGGAATGAGATGAAGATTAAAGGGAGCTCGAGAGAGGAGAGCAGAAGAGTTTAATTTTGGTGAAATCCTCCTTATATAGGGTCTTCAAATAGAATAGATGTCCCTTCACACAAATTGTGTGACCTTCGGTGTATTGTAGAATATGGACCCCTTAGCATAATCGTCTGGTATTCTAGAATGATCAGCAATTAAATATTATGATCACGCCCATAAGTTCATCAACATCCACATCCACATCCGATAATCATCCGTGTTTTGTTCAACAAAGCATGTGGGTAGCAAGCACATGAATAAGTTTTATAATTATAAAGCATGTCAAGCAAAAAGCACAAAATGTTTTTTTAATGTTGAGGCGTGTGGGTAGAAAGCATGCGGGGAGGTTTTCAGTGAAACGTGATGGGTAGTAAGCATATGAGGGTATGATTTTATTTACAATTCAATATGACTTTATTCTTCATTTGCTCTTCGTAACTTACTGACTATCATTTTCTATGTTATTTTATTTTCCTTTACATACACATGTGCATAATCTTTGCTGAATTCATGCATTTGCTAGTAAGTTCTTCTTAGACATTTATTTTGCAAAAAATAATTTCTATAACAAACTTCTACGATAGTTCTCTATAGAACAATCGATGGGTGTGTAACACCCATCTCCTTTATATCTTTTCGTACAAGAGATATAAATGTCACATCACTTTTAAAATGATTTTTCATTTATAAACCCTTAAAATTTTGTTTGAATTTTTTATAACCAAAAACATTACAGTCGTTGACACCTATTACCAGAGTTGTCACTTTAATAAAATTTTAGAGCAATTTTTCTTAATTTTGATTACTTGTCAATAATTTTTCAAAATAAACATGATTATCCTACTGTTATTGATGAGAGTCAGTCTTAGATTGATGATAGCTGCTACTGCTCCCAGTACCCTACTAGTCTTTGTTGTTACCTACGCATGAAATCAACACACGTTAAGTATATGCTTAGTGAGACATAATATTATAAAGAAACTAAAATTTATACATACGTATCTCATGACTATTAGATGACGAATTAAATCATATATTCCATAAGGACTAAATAAATCCTTCTCAGTTCAACCAGATTTCTTTTATACACTCACTGAAATTATTATCAGTAGGTCCAGCCTACCTATCAGTCCGTATATTTTTCACAATTATTCTTTATTTTCCCTATAAACATTAAATGAGAAAGTAATGCACATGTATTGCACCAAAGTGATAATTAGTCCTTTATCTTTTATAATTATCATGAGTGGCACCTTATATACCATTAATATACCGCTATGTATTTTCATTTGTGGCATCCTTTCATGCTAATTATGCACATTTATATATATATATATATATATATATATATATATATATATATATTATATTCATTTATGGCATTCTTCTATACCAATTATGTGTGGTTATACATTTTCATTTATGCCATCCTTTCATATCAATTAGCACGATTAAGCAATTAGTCCCTAATCCAACTTGTATTTGTGGTAGACGAGATGTGTTCTTATTTCTTTTAAGGAATTTCGCCGAGCGCTTCAACATTAAGAGTTGGAAGGGGGACAGAGTTTATGCCGAGCGCTTCCAGTGGCATCTTTATGTAAAATGCACCATTAGACATTTAGTCTTTTACCCAAAGGTATTTAACTTTTCATCTAACTAGCATGATTAACACCTTTCTTCCAAAGGCACAATTAGGCTTTTAGTCTTTTACTCAAAGTTATTTAACCTTTCATCTAATTGAAATAATTGACACATTTCTATCAAATGCACAGCTAGACCATTAATCTTTTACTCAAAGGTATTTAACCTTTCATCTAATTAGCATAATTGACACCATTCTATCAAATGCACAGCTAGGCCATTAATATTTTACTCAAAGGTATTTAACATTTCATCTAACTGGCATAATTGACACATTTCTGTCAAATGCACAACTAGGCCATTAATCTTTTAATCAAAGGTATTTAATCTTTCATCTAATTGGCATAATTGACACCTTTCTGTCAAATGCACAGCTAGGCAATTAATATTTTACTCAAAGGTATTTAACCTTTCATCTAACTGGCATAATTGACACCTTTTTGTCAAATACACAACTAGGCCATTAATCTTTTACTCAAAGGTATTTAACATTTCATCTAACTGCATAATTGACACCTTTCTATCAAATGCACAGCTAGGCCGTTAATATTTTACTCAAAGGTATTTAACCTTTCATCTAACTGGAAAAAATGACACCTTTCAGTCAAATGCACAGCTAGGCCATTAATCTTTTACTCAAAGGTATCTAGCCTTTCATCTAACTAGCATAATTGACTCCTTTATGTCAAATGCACAACCATGCCATTAATCTTTTACTCAAATGTATTTAACCTTTCATCTAACTGCATAATTGACACCTTTCTATCAAACGCACAGATAGGCCATTAATCTTTTACTTAAAAGTATTTAACCTTTCATATAACTGCATAATTGACACCTTTCTGTCAAATGCATAACAAGGCCATTAATCTTTATTTTAGAACAGTTCCTACTCTAATAATTATTCATTATAAATTCTATAATTTGCACCCGTAGTGCCAATACAATAATACATAAACTTTTTATGAATTTCTTAGTTTTGTACACACAATGCCCATTCAGAAATTCATTAACTTATTATGAATTTCTTAGTTTTGCACACACAATTCCCATACTGAAATTCATAAACTTATTATGAATTTCTTAGTTTTGCACGCACAGTGCCCATACTGAAATTCATAAACTTATTATGCATTTCTTATTCTACACGCATAGTGCCATTTGGTAATCACCATACATATATTAAGAAACATGTATCTATGACTATCATAACATATAAGTACATAATAAATGCACTCACCTGATATATTTCCATACTATGCTGTAATTTTGTCCTCTACTCAGCAACTTTGTCCTTCCCCTTATTCTTGCTTGACTCGGGAGCATGGTTATGATCTACTCAAGCACCCATTTAGTACACATTCCATACAAATGTTAGTATATTCTCTAACATTTATACTTTAATAATACTCAAAAGTACTATTATTTTCAATTTCTATAACAATTTCAACCTATCTTATAATTCTGGCTCAATAGTATAGGTACCTATACCATGGTATCGATATTTCTATACTATGTTACATATACCTTCCTCTCAGTATCGATACTACTACACTATGGTACCAATACTCCCTTTCGGTATAGATACCATTTTGGCATTCTGTTATCCATGGTATCGATACTTTCCCTTTTAGTATCGATACCCCATCAGTATCAATACCACTTGCATC